TCAACCAGCGCTGGGGGCCGTTAGGGTCCAGGGACTTCTCTATCACCAAACTGAGACAGAAGCCCGCCTCAAGCGACGATATGGGAGTGTGGTAGAGTCATAACCTGATACACAGTGTAGGGGTGTAACAATTAATCCAGTCAATTTTTGGGTTGCTCAGTTTACCTCCATAATGTGGTGTCCATTGTCTTGTTTTTATGTACGATGTTTTGTTTTTGCTCAATGATGCTGACCGTTGCTGAGGCTATGATTCTTAGATGGACCAGAGGGTTTTCACCTGGGACACACACACAGGTGCCATTTGATTATTAGAGGTGACTTGGGCGATGACAATGAGGAAATTGAGGTTGGTTTATTTGAGCCATATCCATTTTTAGTAAGCAAAACTATTCAATGATTGTGTGTGGATACATATATATTCAATTTTAACTTCACTCACCATATTTACCTATCATTGACTCACCTTTGTATGCACGTTTGTTTTGATATAACTTTCACATATGGTTTGAACTACTTAGATTAGTAATGATATAAGACCATATAGGATTAAGACATGCCTGATCTATAATTACATAATAAGAAACCACTGTCTACATATTGTTTGTTGTATTGTGTTAGATGTTTTCTTTGCAAAGATACTGGTTGGTTCTGGTCTCTCTTCCCCCAGGACAATGGAGGGGGGTCCATTAGAGAGAGGACAGTTGATCTGGGGTTCCTGCCCTAAATGGACTCAAACTCATATTTGGACATTGAAATGGACCGCATACACAAAATGAACAGCAGGAACATTCCTGTTACCAGCGGTTGATAAGTTTCATATTAGGAGGCAACATGGTTGACGGTCTTATCTGAATGTGATGTGTTTTTACACTATATTTTTAATTTTCTTTTGATTCTTTTAATGATTGATTATTCACAAGCGATTGATGTTGTCAGATGTTAACACTCTATAATTATGATTTGTTGTGCATTGGCAGTGACTGGATTGCAAAGAAGTGCTTCATCCTGATGGGGTGAGATCTTCTCTAGATTAGGAAACCGTCATGATACTCTTTTTTCATCTCCTAGAGGTGGTTTTCGACTGGATGATGGTAACCCGACCTGGACAGACCTCTCTTCAGCTGCTGAAAGGGTAACTGGAAAGAGCTCTTCCGGTGGGGTGAGACTAGCTCATGAATTTGGCCTTATTAGAACAATTGAATAAGTTTACCTAGTCTAAAAGTAAATTAAAATAATGTGGGCATAAGATTTAAAGGTAACGCTAGAAGACTAAAATAGTTGTTCCAAAAGGTTTGATAAACTAGGATCCAGAATCACTGTCATATGCATATATCAATATGGTCAATACAAGCGGGAAGAATGAATGCAACATGCTTAACTTTGTGTTAATTTTGCGTGACTTTTTCAAAGTCACGAGGGGGCATATTTGTGCAATTAGATTTTTTGTTTTTTGTTTTTTTCTTTCGTTTTATTTGTTTAAGTGTTGAATTTACATAAGTCAGACATATGGTCTTTGAACATTTGCAAGGACCAGGTTAAAGTAATCATTGGGAAATACTTCAGCAATCTGTTGGGAAAGGATCTAATGCATAAGCTAAATAGTTTATTGACAGAAAATTGGGAATTACTACGCCAACGCCTAATGCTGTTATGCTGTGTTTAATACCTTAACTTGTTAGCTCTTCCACTGCTGTGTCAAAACTACAGCGCCAACACCGGGTGGTGCAGCAGTTACCCATCAAACAAGCGGTTATGTTACATTCACTGGGAATGGTGGAAAGAGTGAACGGGACATTCAAGAAACTGACATTTCCGAGAAACAGAGTGCAGAGCCAAAGGACGAACCACCAACCAGGGTGGAGAAAGGTGACCAGGTGTACCCGAGAGTGTGCAGGGGACAGTGGAGTGGACTTGATCAGGCTGTGGTACCTGATTTCCTGGAGTTCGGCACCTGTGTCTAGGAGGACATGGCACCTGTTTTACTTGAATGTTGAATTATTAAACACACAGTATGGGTCACGGTTGTCATTACAAGGCAGTTTAAATTCGGAATGTGTTATGCTGTTTTCCCATGATTGCTTTAATAATAAGATGGATGAATTTCTTTGATGCTACTGGAATATGTTCTGACTACTGGTGATGAGTGGATCCATGGGGAAGGCACACATGGGTACGTGTTAGTAACCTTGGCGTGTGGGCCTTGCCTATGGATCACAAGATGTGCATTCAATCTATGAACTGTCCGACCTGAGGTTGGCTACGGATGCGGGTGATAACACTGATGATGTTGGAGAACCTGCATGTATGGAGACTACCTGAGCCATTGGAAACCATGCATGTCTACAGGGCGTTTTTTGTTTGTTTTTTGTTTTTATTCATACATTACTTGATTTTATTAGTTTTTGACTTCCAATGCATGCTGGAAGTGTTAAAGTTCACTGTTATTTTTTACCTAGAAGTATTCAAGATGTGAAATTCATGCCTAGAGGTAATTGAAGGGACCTGAGGTGATGAAAATGTGCCTTCATTTCTGTGGTGGATATGTGGGTTGATATTCCTGTGCTTTAATTACTATGCATTAACTACTATGCCTTTCTGTCCTCAGGATACTGTGATAATGGTATGACATTGATTGTATGATGTGATGATAATTTGTCTACTGTTGGCTACGGCCCATGTATTCTTTGAGACACACCAAGGTGAATGCCATCCAATTTAGAGATGCGACAGGTTTTCCACTTATCTAGAAGGGGTTTTCCCGAACTAAGTCGATTGGTGATGTTGATGTTTTTCTTTTCGCTTGAATTTATACTCACCATTTTTAGACCTTACATGATACATTGCATTATTAATTTATAGTATGGTCATCAGTGATGACCAAGGAGGGACTGTTGCGAATTAATAACATATGTATCATCAGGCTGTAAATATCTACACATAGCCAGGAGTAGAAATAAATATACAAGTTGTAGTAACTGCACCTCAACACATGATGGCGGCAAACAATATACTGGGGGCGGCGCTTAACGCTAGCCATTGTGCGTCATGGAGGCCACGCCTCCTGCCCAGGGGCATCCGGCGGAAGCATCCGGTTAGAATCAGAACACCCCAGGCAGCGCATAGGAAGGATGCAAAGCTACTGAGGATGCAACGCTTGGGGTTCTCCACGCGGCGTGAAATACATATAATACTTCTCCTTCTGGTTCATAGTTAAATAACTTAAACCTAAACAAATAAAGTGAGTTATAAGCGTTCCTGTTGTCGGCAGCCTTCTTCCCCGGGACACAAACCCCACAAGGTTAACATATTTAACAGCTACCCCGAACTCCTGCTAGCACATTCTGCTAGCTAGCAAATGGCCGAACTTGCCGGCGAAATAGTCTTCTCGTTGAAGAAAGTGCTCGCTGCCAGCTCCTGCCTGGCACGGGCTGCAGCGTTAAAAAGACGGTTAAAAATCCCGACCTCCGGCTGCTCTGACATGGTGCTAATATATGCTAATCCATGGACCGATGTAATCAGTGAACACAGGTGAATTGTGTGAATGATGATTAGAACGACAACAACCTGCTCCTCTCCCGCCTAAAGTGGGAGGCGGTCCTATAATTTGTCATTACAGATATCTGAAACGTCATTTCGCCTAGTCAAAACTCTAATTCAAGATATCTGTAATTACATTTTGACTAGGCGGAATGAAAGTTACAGATATCTACAATTTTAGATATCTCTAATCAAAATTCATTACAAGATATCTATAACTTGATAATAGATATCTACAATTAAATTATGACTATCCCTAACTCCAGTTTTAGATATCTACAACTTCATTTTGACTAGCCATAACTCCAGTTAGAGATATCTACAACTTCATTTCGCCTAGTCAAAACTTAATTTAAGATATCTTGAATTGAGGTGAATTAAAAGATATCTTGAACTGGAATTATGACTAGTCAGCAGAGCCGTTTCTAGGCATATGCGGACTATGCGGCTGCATAGGGCCCCGCCGCCACCAGGGGCCCCCCCAATCCCGCGGTCGCACCCCCCCCCCCCCCCCGTCGGCCGTAGGTCCGGGGGGCTTATGATCGCGCTCGCAACCCCCCCCTCCCCCCCTGTCGGCACTAGGTCCGGGTGGGTTGTGACACCGTCACATTAATTTTAGGGTCCTTTAATTGAGTACCTTAGTACTACACAGACACATGTATTTCCCTCATTGCATATGATGTTTATGTACGACATGGGGTGTTCATGTATGTTTATCTGTGCTATGTTCTGTTCACTGTGTAGTAGGGTAGGAAGGGTCTCTTTAAGACGAGGGCCGGCCGCAGTGCCGGGGACCGCGCACCCAAAACTTACTAGTAGGAGTGCCTTAGGGAAGACCAAGGGGGTCGGTTCGGTTCGAGGGAGAGAAGCAAGTGTGGCGGTGTGTGTGTTGAATGTGTGGCGCCAGTGGATTACTGCAGCTACTTAAGTACCCATAACCTCCTTCTTTTTCTAGCAGGTCATTGAATTGAAAAATAAGTGTATGCTGTTACTGGGGAGAGTGGAGTGGTCAAAACCGTCTTGACTGTTTATTCCGTGCGCGTCGCCAGCAAGAGGACGCAAGGGACCTAAACTTTTTCGAACGATTCGGATCGGGAGGATATTTGCTCGGCCTACCTCTTTCCGGGTGTGGATCTATAAGACTGTTGCGCGATCCTGGGACGGACTTCTAGTTTGCCTTTGTGGACGGGACCAAAGGGGGGGGGGAATCCAAGGGTTGTGGGAGTGCACGGGTTTTGGGGGTGTTTATAATATACAACGCGCAGAGCGCGTCATTGAATTGAAACGTCTGCTGTGTGTTTTTTCTTGTATGTGTTCAGCGCCGGCTACATATCTGGTTGTTGATACTGCTAATTATTAATGTCATTCGGAAGAACCCCTTTGTGTTTCAGTAGCACCGCCAGTTAAAACAATTAAGTTTAAGAGGCAGATTGTTACATATGGTGGCCCCTACGGGGGGCTCGTCCGAATTGGCGTTAGTATATTGGATAGTATCCCCGCCTGTCCCGCGGGAGACCGGGGTTCAATTCCCCGACGGGGAGTTTTTTTTGATTTTGGGTTTATTATTACTATATTGCTGTGACGATTGTCTGTCGTTCACAGCTGATAATTGTATTTGGCTGAACACTATCACCAAGTCATCATTGTATATACACTGCACTGGTTTGCATCACCGTAAGCACTACCACTACTAAAAAAAAAAGAAAATAAAAAATAGACAAGCATGGCTGAAACAAGGGTTCCATCACTAGTTGAGCTTGATGAATCACAGGAGGAACCATCTGAGCATGGCACTAGGGCTTCTACACCTACGTCAGGACATGGGCCTAGTGAACAGCAACATGAGCCAATGGGAGATGCATGGGTCACGAGGAGAAACCCTGTAGGGGAAGTAACATCGCTAATTAGTTCACTTTACATATCCGACACAGAGGAGAATGAACAAAGCATTGGAGAGGAGGGAAATACCTCTTACCTTACACTTCCTGCTCTCACATCCATTACCACCGACGTACACTACCGTTCAAAAGTTTGGGCTCACCCAAACAATTTTGTCTTTTCCATGAAAAGTCACACTTATTCACCACCATACGTTGTGAAATGAATAGAAAATAGAGTCAAGACATTGACAAGGTTAGAAATAATGATTTGTATTTGAAATAAGATTTCTTTTACATCAAACTTTGCTTTCGTCAAAGAATCCTCCATTTGCAGCAATTACAGCATTGCAGACCTTTGGCATTCTAGCTGTTAATTTGTTGAGGTAATCTGGAGAAATTGCACCCCACGCTTCCAGAAGCAGCTCCCACAAGTTGGATTGGTTGGATGGGCACTTCTTGCGTACCATACGGTCAAGCTGCTCCCACAACAGCTCAATGGGGTTCAGATCTGGTGACTGCGCTGGCCACTCCATTACCGATAGAATACCAGCTGCCTGCTTCTGCTCTAAATAGTTCTTGCACAATTTGGAGGTGTGTTTAGGGTCATTGTCCTGTTGTAGGATGAAATTGGCTCCAATCAAGCGCTGTCCACTGGGTATGGCATGGCGTTGCAAAATGGAGTGATAGCCTTCCTTATTCAGAATCCCTTTTACCCTGTACAAATCTCCCACCTTACCAGCACCAAAGCAACCCCAGACCATCATATTACCTCCACCATTCTTAACAGATGGCGTCAGGCATTCTTCCAGCATCTTTTCATTTGTTCTGCGTCTCACAAACGTTCTTCTTTGTGATCCAAACACCTCAAACTTGGATTCATCCGTCCACAACACTTTTTTCTAGTCTTCCTCTGTCCAATGTCTGTGTTCTTTTGCCCATCTTAATCTTTTTCCTTTATTGGCCAGTCTCAGATATGGCTTTTTCTTTGCCACTCTGCCCTGAAGCCCAGAATCCCGCAGCCGCCTCTTCACTGTAGATGTTGACACTGGTGTTTTGCGGGTACTATTTAATGAAGATGCCAGTTGGGGACCTGTGAGGCGTCTGTTTCTCAAACTAGAGACTCTAATGTACTTATCTTCTTGCTCAGTTGTGCAACGCGGCCTCCCACTTCTTTTTCTACTCTGGTTAGAGCCTGTCCTTGTGCTGTCCTCTGAAGGGAGTAGTACACACCGTTGTAGGAAATCTTCAATTTCTTAGCAATTTCTCGCATGCATTTACCACATTAGCAATGTATAGAGTGTATTTCTTTAAAGTTAAGACTAGTTTAAAGTTATCTTCATTGAAAAGTACAGTGCTTTTCCTTCAAAAATAAGGACATTTCAATGTGACCCCAAACTTTTGAACGGTAGTGTAGGTACAGTCATGGTTAGACTGGATACACTTGAGACAGACTTCAGAGACTCTGTTAATAGTGCTCTGAATAGAGAAGCAGGCCTACGGCATTATGTGGACAGAAGTGTCGAGACAATGGAGCAATGCATGATAGTAGGGCTGCAGCTATCGAATATTTTAGTAATCGAGTACTCTACTGAAAATTACATCGATTAATCGAGTAATCGGATAAAACGTATTTTTGCTTGGTTAAAGAGCAATTATGAATACACAAGAGAAAATAACATATTTCACTTAATAATGAATGACCAATTGGTTTCCTTTTTTAGAATCAACTGTTTTTATTTAGCAAGTATTTTCTGGTCTTGAAACATTACCAAAGAGGCAACTGCTAACATAAATAAGAATAAGTAAAACACAAATAAAATTAAATTACTTTCAAGATAACAAAAATAAATAAAATTAAATTACTTTCAAGATATCAAAAATAAATAAAATTACATTACTTTCAAGTTATCAAAAACATAAGGCATTTATTTTGCAGTGTCTGTTTGCAGTGTACAATTAAGACAACTACTGTATTGGAACACAATAACCACACACATAATCAATAGAGTGAGACACACTGTGACCAGCTACGTAGTAGTTGACTAAATTTTACAACTGCTTAATTAACTTTATTATGTTTTTATTTCCATCTAGACTCATCAGCGCTGTCCTTTTAAATTTTAAATCAACCCTCTATGAAGTCATGTCGTCACGCTCGTAATAAACTAACCACAAACTTGACAGTAGTCAGTCATAATTAACAAAAACCTAGCCCTCTGCAAGGCAGGCGTTTATGTTCGTAAAATACATTAACGTTGATCAAACTGATTTGCTACGTTAATATTACCTTGTCTCCGGTCCTCCGCTCAATAGAGCGTAACAGTGACCGCCCCTTTTTTAACAGCAACGGTGCCGGAAGTGAATTTCCCATGCATTTATCTCGTCCACTTTTCGTAGAATCCTTATACAAATAGTATTAAGCCTTTAACCAATAAGCCAATGGTAGTCGTGACCATATTATGTTTGATTCGGGCATAAAAAGAATTTGGAAAACGGAAGAAAAGGCAAAGGTACAAGACTGTGTACATTATTTTGTGAACAAGTGAACTCATCCCATAAACCATTGCGAACCCTTTCCGACAACTTCCAACCCGATAGTTTAGCGTGCTTCTTGCACCTTTGTAATTATTATAGTGTTTATATTTTTAATAAAAGTTGTGTCATATATTGTGTGTGTATGTATAGTGTTTCATAGTGTATATAGTGTTGTCATCGACATGGTACAGTCCTGACTGCAATCACCGCTCGCGCGTCCAACAATGCCGATTCCAAATGTGTGTCGGCTAAGACAGGGTTTTATATAATGGGTTATATAAGGTAATAACGTTTCTCGTTTTTAATACATGTGATTTTAGTTACGTATTCATTCAACATTATGTATTCCTAGGCTTTATACTACCCAAATTACTATACAACACTGCTATATCATATATTTTTATTTTGTTTTTAATCATATATCATCGTATATTCTATATCAACATATTTTTCAATATGTACAGCTCATTTCATCTACAGCTCTAACAACAACTCTAACTTTCCATGAGTCTAAGGGAAATCATGGTTGCTCTGTGTGGTAAACGATCGAGTTCAGTGGTAGCAGTAATCGACGCCTTGACTTTCGTAGGTAAACGTTTCCATGGTAACAGCGAGCTCCACCAATCAAAGACGTCGCGTTACACTTTAGGATTGTGGGTAATGCAGTCCTTCTAAATGACATCGCGAATAAAACTTGTTTTCTTGAAACCTTCCTTTAGTTTTTGGTTACTAAAGTTGCCTATCCTATCATTGCACAATAAAACGGCCGGTTGTAAGTATACATTGTATGGTTACGACGTAATGGCTTTTAATCAAAATCTCGACGGGGAAAAATGAATGGGATTTTTACTTCCGGCACCGCACTGTTGCGCTCTATTAAACTAACGATTCCTCGAGGCAGAAAAAAATCCTCGGACCATTTTTTGTATTCGAGGTACTCGAATTACTCGAGGAATCGTTTCAGCCCTACATGATAGCCACGCTTAAGCAATTTGAAGAGAAGTTAGTGGAGTGTTTACAGAGATGGGATGACAAGTGGAAAGCAGAGATCGAACGGCTGAAGCGCGCCAGCCTTGTTACTTTCCCACGGCCTCTGCCACGCACCACGGCTATTCTCTATCCCCCTCATAGCCGCTCCACTCCTGCTTCAACCTCGCATGGCGTTCCTTTGGCCCACACATCTTCCAGTGCTTTCGCACAAACCCCTGCCCCTCTTAGCACCAATATGCAGGGCATGAGCCTGCCTACCAGTGGCATCATTCCTCCTCATCTTACCAACCGTTCCACTCCTGACATGGCACCGAGTTCTGCCAGTGCAGTTCAGTCTTCCATTGCTCAGGCTCAAGAGCGCATGCCTAGCCAGTCAGCCCCTAGGGTGGTAGATGTCCAGCTTCAGACCCCATTCACTGGTGCACTTCTTCAGCCACCTACACAGCCCTTCAGCCTAAGCCCCAGCCTCACAACTCCTCTGGGTGCTTCATACAGTCAAGCCACTGCCAGACCATCAGTGGTTTACTCCAAGCCGGCGATCCAGATGGAGTTCCCTTCATTCAGTGGGTCCAGGGAAGTGGCTGACGTGCTGAACTTTGTAGATCACTGTGAAACCTTTTTTGCAGTGCGTCCATTGTCTGATGCAGAGCTGATAGGCGCACTGTCCAACACCCTTAAAGGGCCAGCGCATAGCTGGTGGACTGTGACAAAACACCACATGCACAACTGGCCTGAATTTAATGCTGCTTTTAAGGCTGCTTTCCTGCCTCCTGATTACCTCACTGAGGTAGAGGAAAAGCTCTGGGACATGGTGCAGTTGCCAGATCAGTGTTTGAGGGATTTTGCCTATGACTACCGTGCTCTTTGCCTGAGGTGGAAACCGGACATCACAGAGACAGAGTTGGTGCGCAAGATCCTCAATAACTGCAACCCTCGGATAGCTGGCTGTCTCCGGGGCACCGTCACAACCGTGGACCAGCTGGTTCAGATTGGCACCCTGGTGGAGAAGGACTGCACTTCATCCAAGGAATACTGGGGCAAAGTAGACCAGCAGAAGGCCAAGGAAAGGGGTGTAAAGAAGACCCAGGAGAAGGGGACCTTTAAAGAAGCCAAGAAGCCAGCGGATGTGGTGACTG